CGTCGATTCGAAAGGGAATGTGAAACCCGATTACATTGACCTGCATCGTTCCGGGTGTTTCATTTCGATTTACTCAGTCCTATTCAGTTTTATCTCTCGTCAAATTTTATTGACATCGTAACTGTTGATATCAAATTGCTTGTTGTAGAACAACAACTGCCCGAGTGGAATCACTCTCTCCAGTGAGCAGTGCGTATCGTCAAAACCATCTGGTGCTTCTGAGCAATCCAATGATACTCTTAATTGATTGAGCTATCCGCATATTGTGATAACCGTCGACCGTGCGCTTAGGGGTAAGGGTTTGAAGTCCCGACCCGACTGATCGCGGTTCGAGTCCTGACAGGGACACAAAACACGCACACTGCTAAAGAGTCCGAAACAGGACGAAACAGCTGTCCAGTGCTCTTTGTTGGTTATAACGCGCACTGCTGACGAGTCCCAAACAGAATGAAACAGCTGTCTAGTGCTCTTTGTTGGTTATCACAACTATTTCCATCGCGTTTAAATGCATTCAACTGGCCGGGAATGCATAATCTCCCTTGGCGTGGAACACACCCCTAAGAGCATCACGAGTGCATGGTGCCCCTGAGCAATTCAACAGGTTAATTCAAGAGCAATTTCTTGCCGAGTTTCAAATCAAATATTCGCGCATTGAAACTGGTTCTCATTCGTAGCATGCATACAGCACTCTGAAATCGGATTCGTTGCCTTTACATCTTTGCATTTTGATCGTGAACCGCCTTGTTTCACTTTATAACTTATGAGAACTGATCAGCATCAGATTTGTGTCCCATTAAAAAAAGGAGTTTTGTGTGATGTGAAAATCTGGATTGCCGTTGCCGTTCTTGAATTTTTACTTATTTACTCATTTATTTCAAAGGTGCAGTATTATATATACTGGATTATTTCTATCTTCTGTTACCAACCTCCTCACTTTTCAGTGATGGCAACACTACTCGATTGTGGAAATGCACCTTCGGTCATCGGTATCCCGGACAGATGCAGAAACCACCGATTACACAGAATTACACAATCACTTCAGCTCCGGCGGAGCTGCCACCATCCACAACATCAACATCCACTCATCATGCATCTCGTTGTCCTTCCATCACTACCAACGTTGGACTTGCTCAAGGCGCTCCTGGTCCGGGTCCGACATTTTTGTCCCCCCGATTGGGCGAGGATTCCGGCTACAATCAAGCTAGTCGCAGCGCGCATCGGTCGATCACAACTGAACCATTCTACCCAGTCGAACAACAGACCGATTCCGGCAAATCGCACACACGTCACGCTCGTCGCACGATGCGTCGATGCGGTTGGCGTTCTGGCGATCGAACCGCAGGACGTGGTGGGACAAATGGTGGCCCGGGAGATCTTGTGGTTGCTGCTACCGCATCTGGTGCACCGTCAAAGTCAGTCACTCGGTCCCATAATCTGGCCGAACGGGATCCACAAGCGTTTTTCCGCATCTTATCAGATAAATTGCAGCGTGTCCTGGACAACCAATTAGCCACGGAACGTCTGGATCAATTGATGACTGAGGTATGTATGCATGTATGTATATCTAACATCTTTCAATTGGGACTAAAGATGCACGCAGTGCACGGATTAGGGTAAAATAAAACAAAAAAATAAACAAATAAAACAAACAAATAAAAATAACTTTGTCTCCGATGCCAGTCTAAGTACCAAGGCCTTTCAAAACGTGGAGCTTATTTGGTCCTTTGGCACCAAATTTAGTCATGTCGCAATAGGCGAGTCAGATCAAACAGTATCGGAATCTTCTGAGGTCAACGGATGTTGCAATTTTTTTCTCACTGATGTCGATGTTACAAAGCTTAGTTAAAGAAATACGGTGTTAGGGTTGCATGTCACAACACATATTGGTCGGGGAAGGTTTAAACTTTATGCCCGTATAGTCAAATTAGTGAACACATCTCGTACAGTTTCAATGTGTTCTGTATAACATGCGATACTCTCAGAAATAACTCAAACGGTACATTGTTTTGCATTCACAAGCGAACTCTGATCATCAGAAGAATAATAAACTGCTCGTACAAGTACACCTTGATAACCAATCATCAGTTTGTTAACGCTGCAACATATGTCATAATTACCACAGTCGAGGCTTAATTATTTCGGGTCTTGTCTATAGCTTCTCGGGAAACGGTGTTCTAAAGTTTTTTTTAATTTTTATGTGAACAGTGTTTATTATCCCTGACCTGGTGATGTATCCACATCTCAAGAACAGGATTCACTTGAAATGGATTTACATAACGGTAAGCATTTTAGGACTTGTTAATGCAAAACAGTGTATCGTTTGAGTTACATTTGAGATTTTTACTCCTACGAGTATCGCGTGTTACAGAAACACTGAAACGGTACGAGATGTGTCAAATGGTTTGACGATACGGGCATATCTTTTAAACGTCCTCCGACCAACAGGTGTTGCAGCATGCAATTCCCACACCTTCCTATTTCCCAACCAAGCTTTGCAACATCAACATTTTTAGAAATTATTTTTTTCAATACTCGTTGACTTCAGAAGATTCCGATACTTTTTGATCTGACTCGCTTACTGCGGCGTAACTAAATCTTGTGTCAAAGGAGGCCAAAAGACTCCGGGTCTTTGCTAAAGCATTTCGGGTTTTGGTTAAAGGATTACGAATCGAGGCTAAAGGATTGCGGGTTTTAGCTAGAACTTGATGAGAAAAGGCGTAGAACGAAACGTGTATCCTGCGGTTCTCGAATGTATGGTTGACCGAATGAGCTGAAGATTGTGCGTGAAAATGAGGTCTAAAGGATGTTCACTGATAATAAATAACACCTACTGTCACTTCAAAACTCACACGTAACTGCCACTTTCGTATAATAATCTGTGTTACTTGAATACTCTTCTGAAATGGAGGTAATAACAACCAACGTATAGCAGCTATAAAATGATTGGAGATAACTAAAGCAACTTGTGGTGTGCGATCTTTTCTCGGAAGCTATCAATCACCAGCTCTTTTCATCATTCACCTCTCATTTTCTTGAAAGCACAAAGTAAAACCTTACTTTTGTATTGTAAAAAAAGAAATTTATATCTCCTTTTGTCCGATATCGTAGAAAAACGTCCCTCAGGTGCTTATTGATCCAGGAAATCGACAAACTAATCTATGGGTTCATCAAGGCATAATTGTCGAAACCCTCGGGTTAAACAGAACTGAATGCTACCAGGCGCGTCCCCCGGGTTGTGGATAGGGGTGTACCTTCACCGAAGAAGGTTAGCTTAGAATAAGTTGTGGCATACCGACCAAGCGTCTCAAATAGCCTCTGCTGAGGAAGCCCTACTCTCTACCTTCTCGTGGTGGTGTTTTCCCACTAAAGTGAGAGGATGAAAAGCCAACCGGATTTATGGACCACTGGCGGTTCACCTAGGGCTGGCCGAAACTCTGATTTCAAACCAACCAAGAGGAGGCGTACGAACCAC